TCTCGCTTGTTTACCTACTTTAGCGGCTGCGGAAGGCGCTGAGTAATCGCTTTCAGCCCCAGGTCGATGACCTGCCTCCATTTGAGAGGCCCAGCATAAACACTGTAAGTAATAACCATTTGCTAAGTAAATCCTTCTCTGCAGGCCGTACGTAACTTAATCATTCGCAAGCTGGCAAAAAACCCCAGCGAGCCGCGGACCTTCCTCAATCTAGGCAGACTCGTGCTAACCTACCTCAACGGTAGACAGCTGCAAAAACCGAAAAAACGTCGAGGCAAGAATGAAAATGCCGTCGGTTATAGGCTGATTTACATGCGCTGGATGTGCCACTGCTACATTCCCCTTTTCTGCGCCAGCTTTCCCCACTTTGAGCCCTCGCTTGCTTTTGGAAAGAACTTCTTTCTGGCTGTTTTGCCCGAGCTGAAGTCCGGCCTGATTGAAAGAGTTCGCCAAGAGAAGGCCACTGGGAAACTAGCAACGGATCTTTCGAGGTAGGCATTCAAACAACTTATTTTACCCTTCCGCCGACTTGTTTAGCTTTATCGAAGAACTGGAGACCGAGGCTCGCCTTCCCAACTCCGCCATCTGGGATCCCTTCTTCAGGCCATTCGCTACTACGGATTTATCTGAAGACTTTAAACCCTTCGACCTGACAAAGATGGAGGAGAATGGTTCGGTACACACGGGACCCACGAAATCATCGGATGAAATATGGACAGCTGGTCATAACACACCGGTGCACTCTATGAAGCCAGGCAGTCCCTTACACAGTAGTTCATCGACGACCACTCCAAAGAGGAGATCAAGTGCGTTAATTTGTGGTACTTGTCCTAAAAGCAAACATAGAGCGGTCTGCTTCTTTTTATTGCCTAGGACCAAAGTTATTAGAGCAAACCTGACAGAGTTACATGGGAATGCCCTTTGACAATCTATCCCTTGTGCAAGATGGTGTTCGGTTTTGCTTTGGAACCCCGGATCTGTAGCTGACACAGAATGTTGCATAGCTAACCACTTTTCTACATGCTTCTGTGGAGTTTACGTTGCTAGGAATTAAAACAAGATCCTATATTTTATTTTATTTTTTAAAGTCTACATGAGATACTTCGTTCAGTTCGTCCCCAGGAAACTAGCGGAATGCTGTGCACCCCGATTCTTTATACCAAAATTTTATTTATTTCTGCGGAATGCGCGACTTACCGGACCACATTTAGCCATGATGTTAAGCTGTTTATACATTTTCCAAGTTTACAACACGTATTAGGAATGCCGATACTGCACTGTATTTGGTTTGGCATCTTTAGGCCTTGCTTTTTAACAAAATACTTCACAACCTAAAGGAAAGTTCACTATTCAAATGCAAAACCCTGTATTATCCAACTTGTTGGTAAATTATAGCGCGATGGTTCTGCCTGCTAAATTAGCTAACACTTAGGCGGCAATTGTACAAACTATTTTTGTTTCTGATATATAGTTTTCCTATTCAAACCTCGGACAGTAAGTCACATCCATAAGGTTATCGACAGAGTCGCTATAGTACTACAACAAACGACTAAGCACACTATGCCCACACCTTACTTATAATTCCGTTATGGAAGATAAACTAGTCTTGTCATAGCATGCTTAAACGTAAACCATCTCACCTCAGCCTTCCCATGGTGATTTTATGCCAATGGAGACTGAAATCGATGCTACACAGTTGCTTCCAGTTATCCAGCCACTACTGCTAATTTAAACCAGAACTTAAACTTCCTGTTTTCGACCGACAATCTATCTTATGCGCGATCGTTCTACCTGCATTTTTTAACTTCCCTAAGGAGCCCTCTGACTCAAGCAGAATACCATTAGCTCCAGACAGAGGATGAATTAGGCGCGTTCCAGATCCTCCCGTTTTTTTGATTTCGCTTGATCAACTTCGCTTTTAACCGCTTCGAATTGCCATTGAAGAGTTCCTTCGGGGCGTATATTCGACTGGTACTAATGGAAGCCTTATTTACCATTGTGTTCCATAAATTTCAATTTGACGACTTGGTGACCCTTGGAAATACAGTGGAACCTCGGGGGACAAGCAGCCCCATATACGAGCATTTCAGGTAATGAGCG